AATCAACAGCTGCTGCGGGGTTGTTCAGTATCAAATATTAGCACCCCCAAGTAAGGAAAGACCACGTTTATTGGCCTCATGCATGAACTTCAATTATAAAACAAGACCCACCGTCACTTTTGTTAAATTTGCATCTTGCTTGAAGTCTGTGAATCATTTTGCTCCAAGACTTTTCTAACAACTCAGGGTGGGTCTTTGAAGGTTCACTGCTGCTGCTCTGCTTTCCACTCATTACTGGAGACAGTGAGACTCAAACCTGCTAATAAAAGATTGTGTCTGGCAGCAGATGTAGGCTGCAATGTCCTGCACATGAGATCATATATTAACTTCTCAGGCAGTAATTGGGGTGAAGCTCCATGTTGGAGCCCCGTTGTTGCTCTGTCATCAAGTGCTGCCGCCGTACGACACGCACTTCCTCCCGCCATTACAAGCTTGTAGGTGCAGACAGTGAGCAAGCAGCAGATCACTGCCTTTTACAGAATGATAACAAAAGGAAACGTTAATGTCATGATTTCGTTAAGCCATCAAGAATAGTTCAGCTAGAACTCAAAACAAATTAAAAGTATTACAAGCAAATTATTTAAGGGCTTTAACTCAGTAAATAAAAATTCAACCAACTAATTAAAGCAGAACTGGGAAAAGGAAGCCAACATGTAAATAATCTGGGAAAGTTCCTGCTGGGACAACCTGACTGGAAATGGAAAAGAAGTGGTTCTAGTTACCCCTGCTGGATGGGGTGTGGATTGATGTCAGTACACCATGCCCATATATTTCTGGTTAGTCTGTCTGTCTGGCCTTACTGGAAGGGAGTGGGTGGTTTAGTTTTAGAAGATTTCTCTTTCACTACCTTGTGCCTTGGAAATATCCTCCTCAGTAGGAGTGAGACTGTACAGACACTATCTCCTGAAGAGAAAGAAAGACTACAGCGATACACGATGCTGGCTCCAGCATGGTGGGCTCTGTTCACTCAGCGGAAAATGACTGCCTCCCTGCCTCAGCTCGGCTCCTTTTCATTACTCTTCCATCACCAAATTTAAAATCTTCTGGTTAAAGAGGATTATAAAACATTTGCTGGTAATATCACCACAGACTTAAATTTTATTCAGTTTCCAACATTGGCGTCGGCCTTTATCAGTCCAGTTTTGTTGATCTCTGATATTCTCTGTAGCTCCAGTTCAGTCTCACAACATGGATCTCTCACCATTTGTGTAAATAACTGTGGTTGTTAATGTGCCACGCCCGTCCTTTCATCTTGGCCGTGTCTGTTTATATGTACACACAGACTGAACTGCAGTGACCGCAGGCTGCCGGCACGCATGTGGTTTGATGGATCACATCCCGTCCGGGCTAAATCCATGTGTTGTCTTTCAGTGTATGTGTGCAAGCTGGTAGATGGCGAGCAGCCGTTGTTTCTGCGTCTGATGGCAGGGCCCGACCCCGACACGCTCAGCTTCGTACTGAGAGAACAGACGGGAGAACTCATGGTAACAGTACACCTCCACCAGCTCCACCTCTTTCTCTTTGTTGTTTAAAATGCACATTTTAATATTTACAGGTAGCATAACACTTTTATTCATTTAATTTAATGGTCATTATTAATAGTAATAGTCTTTTTTTTTTTTTTTTTTTGGTCGTGATTTTATGCCCTGCTGTATAATGCCTTCGCCATCCAGACCTTAACCTTTGGCCACCAGTCTAACCAGTAGCATAATGCCTCCGGCCACATGCACGTACTACCAAGTGACGACCTCCTGACAAGTTAACATCATTGTCCAAAAAATAATAATAATGATGAACTAGTTTTTATGAAGCACTTGAAGAAAATGAAGCAAATCAGAACAATAAAATGAAATGGAATCAGGCCACTAAAGGTGCAGGGAGCTGCAATAAAATAAATAAATAGTAGAAAAGTAAAAACATATTAAAGTCAAAATAAAGCAAAGTTAAAATATATTTTTAAGATAAGTATTGAGAATAAAATTGAACAAAAAATGATAAATGGCATGTTTACCTTCTCTCCACAGTGGGACGCCTTCTCCATCCCTGAGCTGTGTAATTTCCTGCGGTTCCTTGACAAGGAGGAGGAGGAGCAGAAGGAGGCGGTGGTTCGCCGTTACGAGGCGTACCGTCACAGACTGCAGGAGGCGCTGAGGGAGGTCCGAGGGCCTTCTTAAAGGACTGAACCTCCTTAGAACAAGATTACTGATGGAAAGAGGGACGTGAAGACTGAATGAGAAGAGATCTAGTGCCTGGAGGAAGGGATGATGCAGACTGACAGAGGGGTGACAGAAATGATGATGAGAGGAGTGAAAGACAAGTGAATGAAAGGGATGAAATTTGGATGGATGCTGATGGAGGTCGACTTCAGCCTGCTGCCTGCTCTGCTCCGTCTGCCTTCAGCCACCAGCGATTCACTCCGATTATCACTGTGCCATATTTTCTCTCCCTCTTTGCATCCATCCCTCTCTTCTTCTTCTTCTCCTCTCACTCTGATCTGCTGTCAGATAATTTATGCAGTTCGTCTGATTCCTCTGTTTCACAGTTTTCATCCTTTAAACTTGTGAAAGACTCAAGGCTATATGTGGAGTTTTATTTTTGTTTTAAAGGTCTGTACATAATTTTTTTTTCTTAATTTATATGAATGGATAATTTTATTGTTTTTTTTTTTTTTTTTTTTAAACAAAGTCTTAGTTTGTTCTATAGCAGCACAGCAACGAGCTGCTTGTTGACACAGACACAGAGAATAGTTTATCCAGACCAGAGGCAATAACACATGCAACATGAGCATCAGGTCCCAGTTGAAATGTGT